AATTAATTGAAAATTAATAACACAAATTTCATAAACGATAATAATTATGTAGTATTTATTGCATATCAAAAACGAAAAGTAAGTTATTAATGAAATAATTGAATTCTATGAAACTTAAAATCGTCCAAAAAAAAAAATGATTCTCCTACTTTAATATATATTAAAGAAAATAAGCAATCCATAGTCTAATCACCCACCAACCCCATTCACCTACAAAGTCAAAGAAATTGGGCATTCCATATGAAATCGAGAGCACTGTTGATCTAAATTTTTAAGAACAAATTATGTGAATTTTTTATTTTTTATTTTTAAGAAAATATGTGAAAAATCTTGGAAAAGATATGAATCCCTGTGTAAATCTTTTTTATTCAAAAAATGCGTGAGTGAAAATAAATTTGAAGAACGATAAGTTAAAAAAAGAATTTTTGTACATAAATTTGAGAAATTGTCATTATTTAACAAACATTTATTTTTCATTATTTTACTCGAGAATCTTTTTCTCTAATTAATTACTCGTGGATTCTTTGCATCATTTTAGTAGATTGGCTAATAAATTTTTTTTCTTTCCATTTTTTGTGCTTTTTTGGACAAATTTTAAACTTGGACGGTGGACTTAACATGTTGAAATTATTTAAAATGGAAAAAGGTAAAATTAGACAAAGTTATCAAAATAACACGGCGTATTTATTGTTCTTAAATAAATAATTATTAATAATAATTAGGGTAATTAGCATAAAAACGTCCCTATCTTTCAATATTATTGTGCAAAACATCCATACGTTTCATTTTTTGATATTTTCATCCCTATTTTCACATTTTATTTTGAAAACATCATTTTCACCAATATTTAACGTAAAATAACAAATATACCTTCATATTTAAATAAAACAAAAAGAAAGAAAAGAAATTTTTAAAAAGTGCAAATGAATCGAAAAAAATTATTAAAAATAACCAAAAAAAAAAAAAATCTCTCTCTTCTTCTCTTCTCCTTTCCTCCCTCCTCTTCCTCCACCATCAAATGGGACCGTCACCTTGGAAGCTAAAAAACTCCAACCAACCACCTCCCAAACCATTGGATCTCTATACCATCGAAAAGCCCTCACCCCCTCTACGCATACAACCCAACATCAAAACTTCATGCCAACAAATTTGATCGGAATTACAAGCCAAAATACTCAACTCATGAATGCAAATACTGGCGGTACCATTTGTTCCAACAAGACTCATGCCATTCCCAATACACCAATCAATTATACTCACCAGGACGTCTCTTTTCATGATTTTAAAACATCAACAGATACACAAAATCAAAATCTAAAGCAACAGTTTTCAATTTTTTATCGGGCAATAACTGGTTAGAAATTTGTGGGCATATTATAATGAAATTGATGGAAGCTCATTGTCGTAACAGGTGCGGCATAATGTGGCGAAGCAAGAATAAGTGGTCTGCGACGGTGGGAACCACTATTGGCATTGAAATTGATGAAAAAAGGCAACATTTTGCGAGCACGATAAGCTGCGTTTTTGGTTGATTTTGGCCATATAATTTGTTTATTTGTTCAATCTATTTTATGAAAAAGTGTTCGGATGTTGATGACAGTTGTTTGTTGTGTGAGCTCTAGTGTTTTAGGCTGCAATAGGTGGTGATTGGAGAGATGGAGGCTGGCAACTACATGAAAATGAAATTAATTTTGGTGAGATGATTTGTAATTTTTTGAAAAAATTAGGAGTAAGATTGCAATTTATTCATTATTTTATTTTTCTTTTCTTTTTTGTTTAATTTAAATAGGAGGGTATATTTGCTATTTTACTTTAAAATTGGTAAAAATGACGTTTTTCGTAATGAAATGTAAAAATTGGGGTGAAAATGTCAAAAAATGAAAGGTATGAGCATTTTGTATAATAATATTCGAAGATATGGACGTTTTGTGTTTATTACCCTAATAATTATTATTATGATGCGAAGAAAATCCAATGTCATCTTCTTGAGGAAAACACGGATGGGCAATTTACAAGAATAATGCTCTTTGAGCAAAGGCTTTTGACGGGGTGGGATGATAGGTAGCAATCCCTATTTGAGATTTTTTTTAACATCAAATCATGCGTTGACACACGTTTTCCCTATTTTTTAACCTTTTATTGAGTCTATCACTGTAGCAAAATTGAATTTACACGACAACTTTTGACCAATAAACAAAAGAATTGTTTGTCAATTTTTAAAGCGAGATCAAATTTTAATTTTAATCACACATTTCTTCAAGTTCATTGATGATGTGAAGAAAATCCGATCTCATCTCCTTGACGATGACACATATGGGCAATTTTCACTGACAACTTTTGACCAATTAACAGAAGATTTGTTTGTCAATTTTTTAATTGCGATCAAATTTTAATTTTAATCACACATTTATTAGAAGTTCATAATTTTTTAAGCTTTTCAAAATCTCATATTTTATTAACTTTTATCGAAGATCCATTAAAATTTTTACTAAAAGTTTTGTCAAACAACCATGAACGATAAATTTTACTTGCGATTGTTTCAGTGAAATCTCAATTTGGTCATTAAATTATAACTTATTGTAATTGCGTCACTATAGTTTCAAATTTCACTACTAAGTACCACTGTGTCCACATCTTTTCATTCATTGTCACTTACAAAAAGCTTATTCGGTACAGCTAAAATCAATTTTTAGATCATTATTTTACTATTACAGTCTTCATTTTGAATTTTTCTCTCACAAACAGGACCCACTTTATCTTTAACGATCAAAAAATCAAATCAATTATCAAAATCTCTTCAAAACAAGCTCAAAATTTGCTTTGCTAGCCGTTATATCGTAATTGATATCAATGACTCAATTGAGATTTTGTTGAAAATTCAGTGACCGCAGATAAATTTACCTTTGGAAAGCCAGTCTCATCTGACACGAAGACGTGGGCGGTCAATTTCGCCAACAACCTTTTGACCCAAAAAAATCTTAAAATAATGAAATAAATGCAATTTCAGACTTATTAATTCCCAAAAATAGCCGACGACGGAATGGGGTTGGTGAATTACCGGCCATTACCAGTCTCCCGCGTTAATATCCCACCAAATTCCCATGCATCTAACGGGTCATATTAATTCAATAATTTGCGAGCTACCTCAGCCGTGGATCTCAATCCCAACTTTACACTATAAATATTTACTCAATGCACCATCCTCCATCGCCATTTTACACTTCTCTGTCTCTCTGCGCTATACCTCAAGGAACCTGCTAGATCCCTTCTCCTTCTCTCTCTATGTATGTGTATATATGCCTATTCATATGTATAAGTATGATTCTTGAATTGGTGGGTTCTTTAGAATTTAGCTTAATTTCTTGAATTGGGGTTTTGGTTCTGTTTTTATTGTTTGAATTACCGTAAATGATTTTGAATAAAGGTTAAGTTTTGATGGAGAATTATTGTAATTTAAATGTTCAATGTAATGATTAAGTGTAGCTTAAACTTGGATTTTATAGATCTGTAGTTCTTTCTTGATTCTTGGTGAGCCAATTGGAGGGAATACAGTGTATTTATTAATTTTTTGGTGTTGCAGCTCGAAAGAAATGGAGACTTTCTTGTTCACATCTGAATCAGTTAATGAGGGACACCCTGATAAGCTCTGTGATCAGATCTCTGATGCCGTTCTCGATGCCTGCCTCGCCCAGGACCCCGAAAGCAAGGTGGCATGTGAGACGTGCACAAAGACTAACATGGTCATGGTCTTTGGTGAGATCACCACCAAGGCTGATGTAGATTACGAGAAAATTGTGCGTGATACTTGCCGTTCCATTGGTTTTGTATCGGATGATGTGGGTTTGGATGCAGACAAATGCACGGTTCTAGTTAACATTGAGCAGCAGAGCCCTGATATTGCTCAAGGTGTCCATGGTCACCTCACTAAGCATCCCGAGGAAATTGGTGCTGGTGACCAGGGCCATATGTTCGGCTATGCCACTGATGAGACCCCTGAATTGATGCCTCTCAGCCATGTCCTTGCAACAAAGCTTGGTGCTCGTCTCACTGAAGTTCGCAAGAATGGTACTTGCCCTTGGCTGAGACCTGATGGCAAAACTCAAGTGACAGTCGAGTACTACAATGACAATGGTGCCATGGTTCCGGTCCGTGTACACACTGTCCTCATCTCCACACAGCACGATGAGACTGTTACAAATGATGAAATCGCTGCCGATCTCAAGGAGCATGTGATCAAGCCTGTCATTCCTGAGAAGTACCTAGACGAGAAGACTATATTCCACTTAAATCCTTCTGGCCGATTTGTCATTGGTGGACCTCATGGTGACGCTGGTCTCACTGGTCGCAAGATCATTATCGACACTTATGGAGGATGGGGTGCTCACGGTGGTGGCGCCTTCTCTGGCAAAGATCCCACCAAAGTGGACAGGAGTGGAGCCTACATTGTTAGACAGGCTGCAAAGAGCATCGTTGCTAGTGGACTTGCTAGGAGGTGCATTGTGCAGGTTTCGTATGCCATTGGGGTACCTGAGCCCTTGTCAGTTTTTGTAGACACATATGGTACTGGAAAGATCCCTGACAAGGAAATTCTCAAGATTGTGAAGGAGAGCTTCGATTTCAGGCCTGGTATGATATCCATAAACCTGGATCTTAAGAGGGGTGGCAATCACAGGTTCTTGAAAACTGCTGCTTATGGGCATTTTGGCAGAGATGACCCTGATTTCACATGGGAAGTGATCAAGCCTCTCAAGTGGGACAAGAGTCGAGCTTAATTAACGGTTATCCATCTCATAAACTGAGGCGTGCTGCCTGTCGTTTAACTTTCCAGAAATCTAGCCACTGGCTTTTGTTTGTTTGACTATAAACTGAGGCGTGCTGCCTGTCGTTTAACTCTCCAGAAATCTTGCCACCGGCTTATGTTTGCTCGACTATACTTTAGTGTTTTTTTTTTTTTTCAATTAAAGAATAATGTTTCTTTTTGGTGTAACTGAAGTAAAGGTGAATACAGATTAAGCTGTGTCAGCTCTCTTCATCGTTTGATATATAAGATTTATAAAAGAAATCCATATTTCTGTTGGCCCAGAAATTTATTAATAAATGGTATGCAAAAAAAAAAAAGAGGGTAAATTGCACTTTTCTCCCCCTTCAATGGAGCTAATTGGATCATAATTTGAAGCATTAGCTGAATCAAGCACTGTATCACCCGGATGGATCTTTTAACAAATTGAGAAGATTTAGAAAAGAATCTGCTTTATAGATTCCATAAGTTGATTATCTCCAGCTTCACTATACATCGATCCAGTCTCCACATCCACCATACTGTTACACTCGTTGCCCGGGTCTGCTTAAGTTTCTATGCCATTGTAAGAATAATATGGAAAACATTATCTCGCAGCATAAATCGATCAAGATTGAAATTATGATTTGATGCATTAAAACCATAATTCGTTTCACCCTGCACAGTAAGCTGATTATGCTGGAGTAATTATATTGTTATTCACGACTGGTTGTAGAGGGAAAAGAGTTGCCACAATGTGCCATGTTATAATATTGAGTAATAAGACGACTAATCTAAACCCTTTTAAGTTGGTTATTATTGAGATTGTGACTCACTCAAGAACTTGAGTTGTCATATCTATTGAAATGTGACCCACATTTTAGTAGGTATTGGAGTCTTAGTGAAAGTGGTCAGGAAGATATCAAAATTATGGACTAAAAAGAAAAATTGACGAATTTTCACTAGCCTATCGCTAGTTAGCCGCTCTAGTAGTAGGTAAACTTTTTTGGAGCAGGGAGTTGTTGCCCGCCTGTCACTTGCCAACCACTAGACGACGCACAAGGGACAGCGTCGTCCAGGTTCGCTTTATGTCAGTTTTACACGTATTTTGACCTAGTTTCCATCTTTTAGGTTAATATACAGGGTTTTGACATGTCCCTTATAAATAATAGACTTTGTATTCAATTTAGTTGAATTGCTGAGATTACTATAACAATATTATTTTCTCCATTAGTTGTACAATAAAATATTCGATTCATCTGTTAATCTATTTCTTGCTTTTAATCTTATTTTTCACGTGCGGTCACATATTTCATATTGTATTATTTAAACCCCCCCTGTTTCATAACAAGTAGTATCAGATCTATTGGTTGTGATTTTGTTTGAGGTTTCTGTTATCGATGGCAGCCATGAAGTATGAAATTTCACTTTTGGATCTCAATACAAGATTTTCATTATGGCAAGTGAAGATGCAAGATGTATTAGCGCAGATAGATCTAGATGATGCGTTGTTAGAATTTGACAAGATACACACAACTTGGACAACATAGGAGAAGCAACGGAAGGATCGGAAGGTATTTTTCACAGATGTATCTTTATCTATCTAACAACATTCTTTAGGACGTTTTGAAAGAGAAGACAGTTGTTGCATTATGGTTGAAGTTGAAACAACTGTGCATGACCAAAAGTCTAACAAGCAAGTTGTATATAAAGCAGAGGCTATATTCTCATCGCATGACAGAAGCAGACCATCTGACCGTGTTCAAGGAGATTGTACTTGATCTGGAAACGTTAGAGATAAAATATGATAAAAAGAACCTGCCCTTAATTCTGTTGTGCTCTCTGTCTGCTTCATTTTTTATCATTCAAAGACACGATTTTGTAAAATTGTGACACACTTACCATCAAAGACGTATATGATGCATTGTTCTTAAAGGAGAAGATAAAACATCTGATTGGAGTCGGGCACAGAGGTGAAGAAACTCTTGTGATTCATGGTGATTGACGAAGGGATAAGTCGAGGGTCAGTTTTAGCAATCAAGATTACAAGAAGAAATGACACATTAAGAAATATTGGAAAAATTGTAGAGTAAAGGTACTTCGATTGCAAATCATGGGAAACAATCAAACACTTCGGACGAGACCAACATAGTTGAAAACTATTTGAGTGATGGAGATATCCTAACGATTTCTGATGTGGAATCTAAAATCTGATGCAGAGTGGATTTTGGATACTGCTTGTGCCTTCCATATGTGTCCTAATATAGATTTGTTTGAAGCATATGAACTGTGATGCAATGTGTTATTGTCATGGAAAAACACGAACCTTGTCGGATAGATGGTATTGACAAGGTTAGATTGAAGTTGATGAATGAGATAATTAGAACACTTGGCCAAGTTTGACATATTCCATATTTGAAGAGGAATCTCATCTAATTAAATATCCTTGACTCGGAGGGTTATGAGTTCTTTGGAGGAGATGGAGTTTTCAAGGTCCGAAAGGGTGTCTGTGTAGTACTGAAAGGATGAAAGAAGTCTCAATTGTACATTTTACAAGGTCGTGCATAATTGGTAAAGAATCATCAACATAGGTTTAGTACCGTAGTGGATATACAGTTTGGTACAGTACCTTTAGGAGTTGGCTCTAGGTCATTATTGAATAACACTACTTGGTTGCGTTTAGAGGATAGGGATAATTCCGCTTTGCCACCATTGTCTGCGATATGATTGTGTTCAACTAATAAAAAAGGACCCATCGAGGATAGGTATAGGGATACTAATCTGGCTGCATATTTTTTTGTGGTTTTGAAGGTGTCGAGACTAGTAAGGAGTCTTCAGTTAAAGCATTTGGAGTTAATTCTGCTACAAGTTGTACTTCGACCCTGTTTGATAAATTTTGAATTCGGAACTCGGTGTTTGGGTTGGGTATCATTTATGAATACTGTAGAAGAGAAATAGTAATTTTTCATGAGGTGGAAAATTTTGGTTCTGGTTGAAGAGTTCAATCTATATCGTTGAAGTTGGACTTATTTTTCTAGGTCGAAAAATTTTGGAGTTTTGTTTGTTGCACCGAAATTTGTGTCAAAGTCAAGATTTGTTGTGATGTGACCCAAATTTTAATAGGTATTGAAATCCTAGATGAAGTGGTCATAGAGAGATCAAAATTATGGATCGAGAAGAAAAGTCGTCGAATTTTCGCTAGCTGATTGCTCGAGAAGTATGAAACTTTTTTGAAGCAGGGAGTTGTCGCTCACTTGTCTTCGAGTCCTCACTAGAGCCATTGGGTTGTCTCTCACCTGCCACTAGACGGTGCACGAGCAACAGCACCATCCGGATTTTTCGTTTTATGTCGATTTCACGCGCATTTTGACCCACTCTTCATCTTTTAGGTTATTTTTAGGGTTTTGACATGTCCCATATAAATATTAAACTCTTCATTCAATTTAGTTGAATTGTTGAGATTGTTGTAACAATATTATTTTCTTCATTGATTGTTAAGTAAAATACTCGGTTGATTTGTCAATCTATTTCTTGTTTTTAATCTTGTTTTCTGTGTGTGATCATAAATTTTATATTGTGTCATATATCCTCCATGTTTCTTAACAATATCTTCATCATACGTGGATGCTATGTAGGAGTTGAGACGCTACGTTTGACAGGATTGCCAAGTCACCATGAACAATGTGGAAGGCTCACATGAACCGCAAAGCCTTACATGAGCCTTCCACGAACCAAACTATGGGTTGGCACTCTTAGCTATGAAAGAAGACTCCCTCAACAGTGCCCCCCGAGGCACAGCTCAACTGATAGATCAATCAACATTGGCTTGCTTCCAGCGGCAGGGTGGAGAGTTCGATTCCTAGTGGGAACCTGCGGCCAAAAACTTTGGTATGGAGCAATCACTGTGGAGAAGGGTCTCTTGTGTGCAGAAGTGTACAGTCAATGGGGGGAACCTGTGATCCAGTTGAGGCATAACCCGCTATTTACCCCCTCCAAGGTTCTAGGGGCATGGGTCTTAGAGGTTCAGACTTTAGTCTGGTATAAACTGGGATACCTGGATATCAAAAAAAAAAGACTCCCTCAATAGTGTTTCGTCTTTTGATGAATTCCGTACTAGGTTCGACCTGGCCACTTCGCAAGTAACATTTACCCCTTAAAAAGAATTTCCCTCCCTTCCGTCTCTAACACTGATTCTGATGGCTACAATGGGGATTAATAAGATCTTTCTAAATGGGACAGAAATCTGTTGACACCCTTATATCTCGCCCAAACCTTAACATTTAGGATGGCTCATGGAACAATACGAGATTATTGAGGTGACAAGGCAAAGCCGGCTATGCTGCCGGTGTATAATAATGGTTACAAAAGGTATAGAATCAAAGATAGTCAAACATCAGCTGAGTCGTCCGACCACCAGTAAGACGGTAGCGTTGCGTTCTAACTAGTTGTTGACACATAAAAATTCGGCCCAAAGCGAACGGCCCAAGGAATGAAGCCCAATGGGAGGATCCCCAAATCAGAGAGCCCAAAAAATGAAGCCCAATCAGACAATTCAGGATGAAGGCCCAAATAGGGAAGCCCAGGGACGCGGTAACACCATCGCCCAAACTTTCAAGTCGCTCAAAGTCTTAGCAAACATGAAGTGTTGTGGTTATCAAGAAGCGCAGTTATTAAAGCAGTTATTAAGCAACCCTATCACGTTCCACAATTCAAGAAATTCAATCGAAAATGGTTGAACGACGAAGAGTAATAGCAGCAGTTAAAAAAGGCAGTTCCATGACAAGTTGGCCATTACGAGGAAAGTGGGCAGTTGTAGAACGATCAAGCAGTTTTTAGACGGTTGATCACAAAGGGATCATCCAGGGAGTATAAAAGGAAGAAAAGACATAGAGCAAGAAAGACCGAATAAAAAACTTTCGAACAGAGAACGTGTAATTTTAAATTTCTTAGCTTAGATTTAAACACTTCTTTCAGTAACTCGTGTGCTTGCGCCCCTTGGAGGCATTCTGTTTTTAATTTCTGATTGTAAAGTCACCACCAATAAAGAACACCCCTTTTTGGGACTTTGACTCAAGAGGTTTGTCCCTTACACAATCGTTTGATCCCTTTTTAATTGTTAGCGACTAAACCCGCGCGAAACAATTTGACACGCCCAGTGGGACAGTGGTGTTTGGTGTTGAAAATACAAAAGGTGAAACATTATGCCTCAAAGATCCGATAAGGAAGCAGCAAGTCAGGAAGGAGTCCAGTCTGTGATCAAGCGATATGAGGAGCAGCATGCCTCTCCACGAACAGATGG